CACCAGGATTTGAACACGAGCCTTCCTAATGTCAGTAAGCAATGCTAGCCACTCGGCTACCGCGGCCGTCATTTACGAATATAACTTATTGTAAATATGGAAATTAATAGGGAACATGGTAGAACCAAGTACAAATTGTTTAAAGCTGTAAAATTAGCATGGGAGGGCATATCTCAAAATGTTATCGATAATTTGATATCTTCGATGCCTAAACGATGCGCGTCAGTCATCCAAAGTGAGGAATTTGCTACCAAATATTAGCCTAAAGACGTTTTTCTTTACACCAAGGGGTTGCTTTAGTTTTACCCCTCGAATTTTGGTTTACTGTAAACTATTTTATGTTAAACTTTTCTAATTAATATTGCTTTATTAAAATTTAATATGCAAACTTAAATAAAATGCAAGAAAAACTTCATTTTCAATTGATTTATTTAAAGAAAACAGCACCAGCAAAAATTTCACTAAGGGTGGGTGCTTTAGTTTTGGTCAATACTGTATGTACATATGTACAGAGAAGATGATTTTCAATGTCTTTACGGAAAAATACGAGATAAGCAAAGATACAGCCGACAATATTGGGCGTACGACAATAAATATATAATGCAGCTGAGTTATTTACTAGTATATGTACATATGCACATACATATATGGTGAATAAGTAAATGTATAAACCGTCGATCACACCTACTTCCATATCGCATTTTCATAAGAAATGGAAATGTACAGAACGGCCAAAGTCGTCTTCGCACCAGCGCCACTGTCAATGTGTCAAATATACGGATTATTTACCACAGCTGTGTCTACATACACAAAAGTAGATTCAAACACACATACACACATACATGCATATGCATGTATGCAGAGAAATTGGTAGAATACATATTGACATTCATACACAACAATGTAATAATATAGGCATGTCCGACAGCAGCAGCAAAACCATCCGGTCTGCAAGTCAACATCGCGGCCATTGTGTGATGCACGACGCTTAACGCTTAACGAGGTGTTTATTTTCACAACTCATGATGCAGTCGCAGCAGCATATTTGCCACACCAATACGTAATCAACAGCAAAAAAGAAAAAAAAATGGCAAAAGGCAAACGGCAAAAGAGAGAGAAAAAAACTAACAAATTGGCAGCAATTGGAAAGAAACGTAGAAAAGGCCGCGTTGATTCCACGAGCAGCTTGTCGTTGTGATCGGAGTGTGTGTTGTTGTCGTTGCAGCCAAAGTAAACATTAAATTGCCAACAAATAATAACGAAGAGAAACTGCTTACATACACATGCACATGTGTGTGTTTCTATACCTGTTTGCATACGTATGTGTGTAGGTGTGCATGCCTACGTGTATCGACAATCCACCACCTCTTATTGCAACTCTCGCGCACAAATCATACACCACTCCTGCGTGCCTCCACCAGAAAACGCGGCAATCGTGAGCAATTTGACTCTGCAATACCACCAACAAAAGCTGACGCGTCACTCTTAGCGTAGAAGATTAGTGATCTCCGCTCACAACTCACAGCTGACAAACTTATATGCCCACTTACAGATGCTCGTAAATATGTATGTACACAAATAATGCAAAGAAGATAGAAAACTGTTGCCGCCCATTTTTACACGCCACCAATTTAGCAATTCACCAACCGACACCATCGTCAATGGGACTGTGTGGAGTGTTGGAGTGTCGGAGTGCTGTTGCTGCTGCTGCTATTGCTGTTGCTGTTGCTGGCTCATTGGGGTGGTGTGTGAGGAAAAAACCACAAACACTTTTAATGATGCTGCCACTCGGTGGCAATAAGCGTTGATTTCGTTGTTGTTTTTATTGGCTTTATGCAGCTACATATATATGTACATATACCTATATGTATTACATTCGTACATTGTTACAAAAAGTACTGGTCGTTGCTAAGCCGCTCAGCTCTAAAAGCTGCTCTGCCTCTTTACTGTTTCTTAGATATTCAATGGTTTGCTTATTTGTTACTTTTATTCAACTATTGTTGTTGTTGTTAGTCTTATGTTGCAAGTTTTATTTTTGCTGCTGTTGCATTGCTATTAAGTAAACGGTTCGTGCTGCTGCAACTCACTTACTCAACGTGTTAGTGCACATACAACGCTGATTGCTGAGTAGACCCTCTCCCTCGCTCTCTCTCTCTCTCTCTCTCTCTCTCTGATGATCTTAGAACACTTGGTCCCTTCGGTTGAGAGTTGGCATGAATTTTCTTGATCAACGAGCAAATTGAAACTTAAAGACTTTTTTGGAATAAAATTGGTAGTTTTTAAAAGTTAATAAATAAAAAAAAAATGATTTGGAATGCCTAATTTTTATGGTACGGCTCGTTTCGCTAATTTAAGTAAATTGCAGAAGTGTTCCATGCTTGAATACGATTACCGTAAAAAGTCTCCATCGCGAAATCCGCGATGAAAGGACCAATAACTGGAGTACCGCATGAATCTAAGTCGCAGACCGCTAGACGGATGATAGTGAGTTTGGGTATTGAGCAACGACAGTGAAAAAAATAGCTTCTCCTATTTATCTGTTAGCCATTCGAAAGCATCTTAAGGCTACATACATCACATTTTGTATGTAAATCCCCAAAATCTACGCCACAAACGAAAGAGAAGAGCAGCAGCTCTTCAGCTTAGAAAGCTATCGTTTGAGGTTAAGTGAGATTTAATAGAATATTGCCTCTGCGCTGTCAAATTCAACAGGTCCAAAACACTGTTGAAATGATACCTCGGCCTCTTACAGACTAATTCTAGTGAAACTTGCTTCTTATCTGAAACTGTACTTCTGCTATAAATTTTTTGTTTAGGATTTCTGTGTTTCGGAACTCGCGGTAAGCTCCAAATAAATTTTGGCCATCAGGATACGAATTCCTTTTCTTTGGGAGCTGTTACGGTGGTCTCATGTGCTGGCTTATGTATTACCTCATTAACATATTTCATTCGCAATTTCAAAAGTTTACTCATGCAATGAGCCTCAAGCGATCCCCACTTTCCTGAGTTCAGCTCAGTTTAAGATTTCTATTTAAAAGTTAACTTTTCAGCTTTATTCCTTTTTGGTCACTTCCTAAATATGGTTTTCTGAAGCCACAGGCCTAATCCCTCTGCTATACTTTCTTAAAATAAAAATTTATGAAACCACCTGACGGCTTTATTTACCTAAGTTAAGTCGTGAGTACTCGTTCTTGCTCAACTCGTAGCCGTATTCTATGAGCCTCAAGAACATAGTTTCATATTAATTTAGTCCCATCTGTCACAATCGTTTTCCCATTTGAAATGCTTGGCCTACGCTATAGCCAACTGTCAGATGATGGAAACATTATCCACCGGTAGTGTTCGATCGCGGCAAACTAAAACATCCTACTAAACATACATCATTAATTTAATAATGAGGAAACAAACATAATCATTTGACTAAATGTCAGAAGACGCAGCTATAAAGAGACTTCATAGCTCCATTTAGCCGTCATATTCTATTAGTTAGCAGTACGTACTATCATACATAAGGCCATTGGTTCGAATCCTGATCTGATTACCATCAAAAACTATAGGAATTTAATTATCATAGAAAAAATTAAGTAAACTTTTCTAATTGCCTCCTCTAGCCGGACTCCATGCAGATTTTTGACAAGAAATAAAAGCAGTGCTTTCCAATTTTCCACTCCAATATTTCCCATAAATGCTTTATAATATTCAAGTCCGGGCTTAGCAGTGGTAAATGCAACTGCCGCAGAGCATAATACAGCAACCGAGTTTTCGCTATTTGAGCTGGGTGTATATACATATGTATAATTTCGGGAGAAGAGGAATGAAAATTGATAAGCTGATCTCTCCCAGCACCCTGAAGATAAATTTGCTATATAAATTTTAAGAACTTCCGAAGGGACGAATGGTCCACAATAAATCATATTCAACATCTACGAATGTGCAATGCTCGAAAGACCTCAGCAAATAGATGGATATGTACATACATATGTATACAGGGAAAATATTACAATAATTTGGAACAAGAACAATCTGACTTTTTTTAAGTATGCCGAAATTTAAGAATCGATTAATGTGTAGATTATTATTAATTATTAATTAATTATTAGGTACTTACCGTAAATAAATATTAAGATATACCCCAATATGATATGAATAAATGTAACTTTATTTTTCAAAATCTATATTTAATAAGAAATATCAAATCGAGCGAAATATTCGCACGCGCTTACTTGGGGTACAAGAGTGAGCACAATGAGCCTTCTCAATGGCCTAGGTGCGGCCGCTTGCGGTCAGGCCCCCAATCTCCTCCTTTCGGCCAACCAGCCATCTATTATATAATATGTTACTATTTACTAATTAATTAAGAGGGAACACTTATTTTATACACATAATGCCTTCAAAAGTATTTTCTAAAAATTAATAATCGTAATCTATTAGCACTCGTTAGTGTATCTACATAGGTACAAATAAATATACATTTGTATGTATATACTTATTTGCATCGACTCATACATTGTGAGAACAATAAATTAAAAGCACATATGTATACCTTTGGCTAACAACTGCTGAGAACATAACACCTACACAACAGTGTGTTATACATATACGTTTTACGTATATACATGCATATAATCAAGCAAAACCTTACAGAGCGCTTGATATTTAGCCGCTTGGCTCCACTCCCCTTGCACATCCCAATACGTATTTGTTAGTATTGCAAAAAAAAAAGCTGTTATACAAGCTTTACTGCTTTCGCCTTCTCACTCACCACACCATGAGGTGTGCACTAGGCAGACAGAGAGTGAAATAGCTATTCGACCAATAATACTCAGCCACTCAGTGTCTCTTGCTTTGTTGTTACTTGTTTTTCGTTGCGCGACGTCAACGGTGGTGGAGTCTGTTCGTTAGTGGCAACTTAATGTGCGACGTCGGCAAGCTCTCGCTATGAATATACAGCGTCATTAAAGTACGACGCGACACGATCGAAGGCGGGCGTTTACGTTTTGTTCAAACGCAAAGGCGAGTGATTTTTTACAGACGCGTGTGTTTTACTATTAAGCATTGTGCGAATTGCCGTCGCAAACGAGATTTGCACAGGCAACAAAAACAACAAAATCAACAAATGCACATGAATAATCAATTTTATTTTGCTTTTATAATCGAAAATACCGCCATTTAGTGTTTAACTGAACAAATTACGATTTGCTGCTCATTTGCGGGTTGGAGCTGAAAGCTTTAGCGTTTTTGTTTGTTATGCATTTTAGACGGTGTTGTCGCGTGGGCTTTTACAATACATAGGCAGTGCGCTTTCGCTGTTAGATACATATGCCTGAGACGCTTCGAAGTGCGACTGCTGTGAGTACGTCGCCATATGCCTAAGCGTGTGCGCAATTAAACGCTTTAAGTCGCATAATGGCGTTGACAGCTTGTCCAATCAAGCATAACCGTTACGCTAGATCGACATTAATAACACCAACGCTATAGCGGCAGTTAACTCAGTCACAATTACGGTCCCGTTTATCAATGTCAGTACTCATCTGAGACGCGCGCTACAGTTGCATTGTCCACCAGCGCAGCGGCTCCCGACATACAACAGCAAGCGTGCTGTGCGCGCGTATATGTGTGTTGGCGCGCTCTTACGCTAAATAGCCAATGAAGCGTTGTAACTTGTCAATTGTGTTTAGTGATTTGTTCGTGCTGCGGTCAGTGGCAGGCTCCAAGTTCTTTTTGTCGTGTTGTCGTGAGTGGTGTGTTTTCAATTGAACAACAAACCACATATTTCTGTACATAAATCAGCATTAATTTAAAAGTGACATCGCCGCTCATCAAACGGTTCAATAATTGTTATCAAGCGGCAGTTTCAATTTCCCATCCGGCTGGATTTCGCCTTTGTTTCGCGTTTACGCTTTGTTGTTGCACATTCCGTTTGTGTTAGTTGATTGTGTTGACCGCAATTTCGCAAATGGTCACGTGCGGCCGTCAACCATTCAATATGCTGCCTATGGCGCCGATTAATCCTTTTGTCGTCGGTCTGACACCATCATCGATGGCAGCAGCTGCTGCAGCGGCCGCCGCCGTTGCAGACTCAACAGCACGTTCAATAGGCAGCACATCGACAGCGACTACGACCATGATAACAGCGAACGCGTCAGCGACCGCAACGACTGCATCGATTAGACCAAAGCTAGCCTTCAGTATTGATTCAATTGTTGGCATTAATAATAATAACAACAACAACAACATTAAAGACGTCGGTAGAGATAATATCGCAGCAACGCATTGTAGACCTATGCGCTCCTCTGTCATCTCCCCACCTCTCTCCTCTTCACAACGCAGCGAAAGCCCCGATGATCGCCTCAATGGCAGCGAACGCGATCGTTTACTACACATCTATGATCGCCCACCCAGTCGCGTTAGCCTCAGTCACAGCGAAGACTCTCATCATTGCCAACAACCGTTAGAATTAAGAAATAGCTTTACTGTAAATTATCGCCCCATTAACTCTGCGGCGGATGTGCATCCAACACAGCTGACGCGCCCAACAATGGGTCTCATCTATTGTCGTCGTCGTTCGCTGTTAAATGCATCGCCGGAACGTGATAGCGGCAGTCCGACATTGGTTGGTAGGTGCACATCGCGGTCACGTTCACGTTCACCCAACCGTCCGATAGCGTTGTCTGCCCGCGAATTGACAAACGTCGGTAATCGCAGTCGCACACCAACCCCTTCACCTCCTCCGCCATCGAACAGTCGCACTACACCACAATCGCCTCAAACGCCAAGTAGCGCGAGCACATCGATTGGCAGCGAGCTTAGCAAACGACCCATACATGTGCCCGGCATACCAGCTGGCCTGATACGTCCGTTACCTCTGCAAGCGCCACAAAGTTTAAGCATACTACAAGCTGGCGGCGGCAACGGCGGTGGTGCACCTAGTTCCTTAGATGCTGCGAATCCTGCCGCGAATGCGACTTCACTACATCCGATTGCGACTGCGATACAAGGTTCTGCACCACCCCCGCTACCAACAACACTTAGCATACCACCACCGCACCCAGCTAACACTGGTGTTGTTGCTCCTCCTCCGCCACCGCCTAATCCACATTTTTTGGCTGCGCAATTTCAAATGGCTGCCGCTCTAGCCCATCATCATCATCAGCAGCAACAGCAACAACATCATCCACCAACGCATTTGCCACCAGGTCATCCAATGGCTTTATTCCCTCCGGGGCCGCATCATCCTCACTTCGGCGGTCCGCATATGATACGCGATAGTTATCCGCTCTATCCGTGGCTGTTGAGTCGACATGGGCGGATATTCCCGCATCGATTTCCCGGTAGTAAGTTTGGAATATCTAATACTAAATACTCATAATTTAAATTTATAGTATCAAATTGAGAGAATCCGGTCTCATGGACCTGACAACTATTACAACAACAGAGTAATTATAAAATTTATTAAGCAGTCGCCTTGCCATAAAAGACAGTGGGCAGCAAAATTTGAACTTTGCTGTGCCACACGAGTCTCACTTATATTGTTTACGTTGTTCGGTGAGCATTGGGGGAACTTTTATTTGAAAAAAATCTATTGGCCACTAATTTGTTTTTTATGTATGTACTTTAAACCTTTACTAAAATAGTCGAATTTCTGCTACAAAAAAGATAAAAACGTTATATTCTGAATTGCAAGTATTTTCTGGCATATTTAGCTTCTGAGTGGTCTCTTTTTATCGTTCAGCATTGATCGCCCAACATCTTTGGGTTCCATCTGCTATTCTAGCGTTTTCCCATCTTTTAATATCCTGACTGAACTGCTCCCAACTGCTCAATTCATCCAAATTCTCAGAAAAAATTTAGGTGGGAGTCGAAAAAATTATTAAAATATTGAGTATCACGCTGCATTTCAATGCTTGAAAATAGTAGAAAACAGCTTAGTAACAAACTCTCTGTAATTGATTAGCTGAAATATAATTATTTCTTTTCTGCTAACACTCGATCGTTAATTAACACTCTGAGGTTCAACGAAAATACTCTCTTACAATTAAGTATTGTTACTGATTATATTGCCGCGATTGTGGTAACCCTTCTCCCGACAAAAGTTATTATGTTTATCCCATACATCGAGACGAAACTCTGTATTCGGGAGGTTAGCTCGACCGAAAAAGGGTTCAGCGATGCTAAAGCGTTAATTATATGTAAACGAAAGTGACATTTAATTTGTGAAAATTCCGTTAGATGATATGTTTTAGACTGCAAAGAACTCTTAGTCGAATTGTAATTTATTAACTTAAACTACAAACTTTAGTAGCAGAATTTTCATCCGATTCGCTGATTTATTGCATCAATTTCATGGTGACAGAGCACTCGTTGTCTTAGAGATATCGGAACAGATACGTACCAGATGGAGAATAGAGAGACCAACCAAAATTTATACTGATTGTATGAGGACCACGAGCTGAGTTGATTTAGTCATCTGAGCATCTATTTGAATGCGAATGGAGAGAGTTGAGACATTTTATCAAACTTGTTGGAACCGACTAGATCGGAACATTATTACATACAGCCCTCATTTAACTGATTATTCAGATACTCGTATAAGGTTTTTGAATGCATCAAAAAAGTATCTAAGAGCGTGAGATAAACATATACATTGCGTTTTCGAAAAGAAACTTGAATAAAATGCTTTGAAAATAGTTTTCCCTATAAAATTCCTATTTTATTATAATGATTGGTCTTGGCATTTTCTGTAAAACTTATGATACTTACTTTACTGGCGTAAATACCGCTACGCAATTGTAGCCGATTTAACAACATTGCGCCATTTAGAACACCAAGTACAGCCAGGTCCTTCTCTACCAAGTCTTTTCAACGGAGGTGAGGTCTTCCTCTTCCTCTGCTTCTGCGATCACTGTTTGTTTGATAACAGGAGACGCTCGGTTGTTGAGGCCAAAAATGTCAATATCAACGGTGTACGCCAGCATCGATACTTTCTCTATTCAGCTTTAAAGTTCGGATTATTTTCTCAAGCAATTGAGGACATCAACCAGCTGGGCAACTGCACCTTCCCAATTAAGAAACCAGACATTCCATGCCCTCAAATCGTAACCCTTAAAACATTTGCGGGAGTCGTCATCAAAAGGGGTCTTTCATCCGATGCTTATTTTGATTTTTCATAGGAGTTTTCGTTTGGCCCCGACTGGTAAATATTTAATCGCTTCACTCTATACCTGAGAATTTTCCTTAGTCTTATATGCATGAATGTGTGTTCACATTTTTACACCAAATGCCAGATATGTACATACTAGAGCTCTAGATACCCGCGTATCGAGTACTGCGAGCTGCTCGATACTCGTTTATTGATCAACTGCTCAAATGATAGTTTGAAATTTTTCAAAAATCAGATTTTTCTTATAGTTGTACTATTTATGTATACTTGTGCTATACTATATACAATACTACTAATAAATTCAACTATCGACAGTAGATTTAATACGATTTTAGTGGTTTAAAACACTTAATTGACATAAAATGAAATTCAAAATTTAGCAAAAAATGTTAATCAATATTTTAAACAAATGAGAACTAAATGGGAACTCAAATGACGATGATTTTAGTTTATTAGAAAAATCTGGGTTTTCATAAATTTACATTAAAGAAGATTTAAAGTAAATTTTATGTTATTTCTTTCTATATACTCATGTATGTATGTATATATTATAATATCTCATTGAAAAATGTTTCGTTAAATAGCAAGCACAGTGGATAGTTAAGATTTCGTGGTAGGCCGAAGATTTCATTGAAATCGCCAAAACCGCCGCTGATCTGCTGATAGATGTTAATGGGTTACATAGGTCTTGAAGGCCAAAAAAAAACTTATTTCCTCTAATTTTTTTAAAAGATACTAACAAAAGTATATAATTTATTTTGTTTCCATATAAAAGCACAATATGTGGACAACATTTGGTGAATATTTGAAGGAAAAATAGTATAAGTTAAGGCGTTGGCAGTGCCGTGAAGTAGACCGTCCACAAGAAAGTGCTTTCACGGTAGTCGTGATAACTTTTTCAATTTTTATCTGAAATCAAAAATCCAAATTTTGTCTCAAAGGAGGTGAATTTTCCTTGTCCTTGAACTAAGAAAAATTGAGAAAATTAAACATTTAATTTTTGGTAGCGTTTTTTTTACAAAAAACGTCATTTTTGCATCCAATTTATGTGGCCTAATTTTATGCAAAAATCAATTTTTTTGTAAAAAAAACGCTACAAAAAATTTAGTTTTTAATTTTTTTAATATTTCTTAATTTGTTTGGCTTGCAAAATGAGTTGAAATCAAAGATAAAATAAATCCTTCGTTCAAGGACTACAAGAAATTCCTTAAATGAAGTGTGAAAAATTTGAACTCGACCGCTTCAATAGTCGCTGAGAAATTTTGACTACCGATTTCGATAAAGTGGTTTTAAGAAAAACGCGTTTAAAGTGTCGCCATCTGTCAAGCAATGACAAGGACGGCGGACTATAAAACTCTTTAATTTCTACAGTTTCGTCTCGATCGACTTGATGCTTGGGGAAAATATTCCTGACACTTTGTACTTTTATACAAAATATTATTTAAAAAAAATAAATTTTTTGAAGTTTAAGACCTATGTAACCCCTTAAGTCCGTAAACACCACTAAACCTTTACCAATTACAAAAACTTGCAGCTAATATACAGCTGTCACTAAAGCTAATTAATCACGTGCTTATGTCTTGTAATCAAATTCAAAAAAATTTTCTTTAACATAATTATTGTAGAATTCCATTCCTCAAGCCGCATGATGATACGAACTAATAAAAATATACCCACCAAACGGACAAAAAAACAAAAAAAAAAAACAAAAAACAACAACAAATGTCCATATCACCATTCCCAAGAACCCAGAATGTAATAACAGCAATTTCTCGCATATTCATCATGTTCATTAGAAACATTATAATTATATGAAATGTTTGAGAACGCCTACTCTACCCAAAAAAAAATATATATATATAATTTCGTTTAACTGCTCCATTTATTACAAGTTAATTAGTGCGCACTTCGCCACGGTACGGAATGGACTTTTATGTACCTTCAGCGTCGAAGTTAGAGTGTGACCAAAACAAAAATATAATATTAAAAGAAAAAAAAAGACAGAAAACAAAAGTTTTCAACAGGCCAAACCTTAAAATGCGTTTTGTGTCATACACAGATATATGTATATAGATGTGTTTGTGCGCCGGTATAACAATTTGAAATAAATTACATTTTAATTAAATTGTTTAAACAACATGGACCAACAACGGTTACTGTTGGATGCTTTTATGTATGTATGTGTGTATTGTATGTATGTTAATGTGGAGCAACAACTGAAAAAAAAAGTAAAAATAAAAAAAATATGAGACATTTAAGCATACTAGCTACAAACATATATTATATAACACATTTACAAATATGTGTATTGTATATATGTGTGCTTAGCTGTACAACAATGCCCCAAATAGTGGCGCTTGTTGCTGCAACAAGACAGCCAGCCGTCAGTCCCACATTACCGGCGTTGCTTTTACCACATTGTTATTTATTCCCAATTGCTTGTTGTTTTTTTTTTTGTTTTTTTTTTTATATTCTAATTATATTTTTTAACTTTCAACATAACCATACACACGCATTCAGCTCTGCCACAATCAATACTGACTGCGTAAAATTGTATGAGTAAGTGTATATATGTATACATGTATGTATGTGTGTATGTGAGTGCGTGCTTGTGTTCTTTGAAAATTAATGCGTTTATAATTGAGGTTTTTTGGGTATGGAAATAACGCTGCATAAATACAAAATTAAAAAAATAAAATACACAAATAAAATAACTCCTTTTTTCAGCAAAATCGTTGCCATTTAGCTCTTGTTTTTTAGCACTAAACGTATTTAAATTACATATATAAATGCGCATTTGTTTATTTCCAACTTTTCATCTGCCATTACCAGCGCTGTATTTCATCTTTCCAAACTCCCTCTCTCTCTCTCTCTCTGTCACTCTCTGTGAGAAAATACTTCATTTATTAACGTCCGATAACTTCATTTGAAGCGCCTTTCACTCCATATCAACAACTGAAAGAGATAAAAAGAACTGGCTCAAATTCTCAACACCAAAAATTGAGTTAATTTTTGCCTTTATTTACTTGTTTTCATACATAAATGGTTTTGGCATTTTGTTGTTGTTTTCTTTCATGTTTTATTTTTTATTTTTTTTTGTTATTTTATGCACATAATTAAATTGTAAATTGCTGCTAGTAACTGAGGCATGTTGTTGATTTATGATCGTTAAGC